AACTATCGATGAAGTACTTGACTGAGATGATTGTTGAGAAAACCTTCGTTCAGAGACCATGGGCTCGACAGATTTATCACAACCAGGAATAGGACATATATTTGAATCTGTAAGTGAAATTTTTTTCTCAATACAATATCTATGGTATGCGTGTCCACATGCAAGGATTGTGAATGGTTCATAGCTAACTGTTAAAATTTTTTTATCACATTCCGAGCATGGTGCTAGTTCAGCAACATCGATATTTTGGACAATTGTATGGTTGGTTTTTTTTAAAATATTCAGTGCGAAGATTTGGAGGTTAGAAAGAGACATGATAACAGTTTATAATGATTCTTTATGGCAAATACACATTGTTTTATAATACTATTAGTTTCAATGTATCACTCTGTTAAAGATGCAAAACATTACAATCGATAAATTAGTAATTTATTCTCTATGAGCGATCTCGGACGATTTTCCTACAACATCATACATTAATTAAACATTTCTATGGGCGATCTGTTACCTTTACCAATCATAATATTTGCATAATTTCTCTGATAGGTAGGCCCTGAATTGATATCAAAAAATAAGTTCAATGCACACCTCTTATTTCGGAAGAAATGGTATTCGTGGAGTCTTGAATTTTTTTTCTTTCTCCGTTCCAAATTGGAACGCACGTGATATTTTTTACAATATTTTGAATATATCTATTTCTTATATAAAAAAATATTAGCAAACATGGAAGCCGAATTAGATTTGTTGAGACAGCGTGTTACCAGCCTCAAGACCGAAAATACTAGATTAAGACAAATCATAGAAGAAATTGCTAATCTTAGGATCGAAAATACAAGACTAAAACAAATAATAAAGCAAAATCGAACTACTAATGATCCTTCGCACTCTTCAGTTTCTCCACAAAGGCATATTCCATTGCCAATTAATGGCCATTCTAATGAAGATGATAGCACTGATTCCGTAAATCTAGATCAGACACAGGTACAAAATTCCATTTCTCCCGAAGTTAATTCTAATAATATCTCTGAACAGATAGTCGATACATCTTTTAATAATGCGCCAAATTCTGGAGATAAGGAGATCAATGATTTTCTGGATCAAAAAGTAAAAGAAAAAGTTAGTAATATGATGAGAGATATAAACAGGGAAAAGAAACTATTGCGAAGTAACAAAGATCCCACTTCTCGAACTCAAGAAGCACTCCTATCTTCTCAGGATACTTCTTCTATTGAATCAGAGCAAATGCCTATCGATCAGGATATTTCAGAAGCACCTATTAATCAGGCACAAGGTACCATTTCTTCCAAAATAACAGGAACTAGTACAACGGTGCTAAAAATTCCATATAATCAAAAGGTAGAACAAGGCTTAACACATGAATTATCTGTTTGTGCCGAAGACAATGATATCAAAAATAATGCAATACATGGATTTTCATCCGATAAACCATTTAATATTCAAATTCCTGAATTATCTTTAGAAGTAATTCTAACAGAATCTAGTAGAGTTACGGCACAAAATATAGCTGATTTATTTAATATAGCAATGAAGGTTAGACAAAAGGAAATTTTATACTGGTATTGTTATTATAAAACGTATGAGGATAGAATTGGGAATATTAGGTCTATAGAAAAAATTGACGACAAATCTGCAAGGACATCGGTATATAATGAAATCAAATCACTTCTACCTGACATTACCGATGTAAACTTGCGTAAAATAACTTTCAGAGCTAAAAAAATATATATATTGTTTGAAGGAATTGGGATGGATAGAATCAGGCAAGTAACTTACAGTGCAAGTGCTATTTCAAGTCTAAAAGATATTCAAATTCAAAATATTATAAATCGTTTTCCAAAAAAGAATGCACACGTGATTGAACCATCTATCTCAAATGATTCAGAAAAATTACCGGAAACTGAGGTAAGTGCATCGTCTAATCCAACTCGTGACCATGCTTATTTTCGTAATAAAACATTAAAACAATATCCTAATTTATGTTGAGAAGGTAGTGATGGAAATGTCGATTATTATGGAATTACTGATGAATCTTCGTGCCCACTATGCAAGTTAGATCATGATGATGATAGTGGTATAGAAGGCAGATATGAAATTGGAGAATCGGAGATTTGAATTATCTGTTTGTGCCGAAGACAATGATATCAAAAATAATGCAATACATGGATTTTCATCCGATAAACCATTTAATATTCAAATTCCTGAATTATCTTTAGAAGTAATTCTAACAGAATCTAGTAGAGTTACGGCACAAAATATAGCTGATTTATTTAATATAGCAATGAAGGTTAGACAAAAGGAAATTTTATACTGGTATTGTTATTATAAAACGTATGAGGATAGAATTGGGAATATTAGGTCTATAGAAAAAATTGACGACAAATCTGCAAGGACATCGGTATATAATGAAATCAAATCACTTCTACCTGACATTACCGATGTAAACTTGCGTAAAATAACTTTCAGAGCTAAAAAAATATATATATTGTTTGAAGGAATTGGGATGGATAGAATCAGGCAAGTAACTTACAGTGCAAGTGCTATTTCAAGTCTAAAAGATATTCAAATTCAAAATATTATAAATCGTTTTCCAAAAAAGAATGCACACGTGATTGAACCATCTATCTCAAACGATTCAGAAAAATTACCGGAAACTGAGGTAAGTGTATCATCTAATCCAGCACATGATCATACTTATTTCTGTAATAAAACACTAGAACAATATCCTAATTTATAT